GCACCACGGGGGGAGCGGGGGGAGGCTCGGGGCGCAACGCGGGGATTGTCCCCGTCCGGACCGTGTGTGCCGAGAGAGGGRCTCCCGTGGTCCCCGTGACGCCTCGCCCGGCCCGGGCGGCGCGCGGCGGAGCGGAGCCGGGAGGCGCTCGCCGCGGAGGGGCCGGAACTTGTGCGAGGCGGAACGCGAGCGGCGGGAGCACTGGGGAGCGCGCGGCGATGCACYGCACCCCCGTGGCGGCAGCCATGTTGGCGGCGGCGGGTCGGGCGCTGTGCGGGGTCCGGCTCAGGTGCGGGGGGCTGGGGGCCCGGGGCGGGGCCGCGAGGTGCCGGTGCCGGTGCCGGGTCGTCCGCAGGGGCCCCGCGGCTCGAAGCGGCCTCGCTCGGTGCGGCTTTAAGCCGAGCTTGTCCCGGGCCCCGTCGGGATTCGCAGCGCTGGTCGCAGCGCTGGGCAGCCCGGAGCGGGGCCTTAGCCGTGCGGTGGCCGAGGCTGGTTTATCCCAGGGCTGCTGCCCCGCTTAAATAGCCCGGGATGATTCAAAACTCGTCCCTCTGTGTGACTTTAACGAGCAATTTGTGCAGTTCCCCAAATGAATAGGAGATCTGAATACTTCATGTTTTTTTCCTAATACTTTGTTTCTTTTATTTCTTTAGTCCATGGCTGCCCCAGGCAGTTCAGTCTCGAGGGAGCCACTGGYGGACGTCGCTGCTGGAGCTTAAGGCATCGCTCCCCATGAGGTGACTGCAGCTTCCACTCAGCTGCAGGGATTTAAAGCAACGTGGATCTCTCCRAGTCCAAATTAGTTTTTTAATGTACATGTTTGCAGTGGGACATTATACGTAAAAGCTGCTAAAGCGGTTGGGCTCTTGARAGTTTTAGGCTAACCCATAAAATTATTGCTTGGACCGTTGCACTTTTAAGTTGTGTTTATTTGCTTCCTCAGCCACATAATGTGGTTGGAGATGTTCATATTTACAGATCTACTTTGAGCAACTGTTGAAATGGAAAAAGGGGCTGAACTGAAAATACTTTAGTACAAAAATTCCCACCTGTAAAGCAGAAATGACTTCCTGCAGGAATACTGTGAGGATTAGTTTCTGTGGTGGGGTCCTGTGTTTTCTTGCGTATGCTGTGAGGATAAGGACAACAGATGGGTAATGTCTGCACCCTGAATTTGGCTTCAAGTGTGGAAATCTTAAGAACTTTGTATAAAGTCAGTGTGTTTCAATGTTAGATAACATGACTATTTGAAGATAAACACGTTTCTAGCTCTATTGCACTCTGAGGTATTTGGACAAAAGTTCAAAAAAAGGGCAGTTTTTGTGGAACTTCCTAAATCTCATTAAACACTGTGCTGGAAGTTGCATTAATTTATTAAGGATAATGGTTCAAATTTCAACTGGGGAACAAATTAGGCAGTGACACCATACTCTCTAGGAAAGTAAAGCTGAAGTGCAGCTTGCTGGTACTGAGTTCAGTGAGAACTTCTTTCATTCGTGTGATTTCCCTTGCTAGAGCACAACCCAAGAAGAAGAAGAAAGTAGATGTAAAGAGAGAGCAAGCACAAAAGGAGCGCATGAAGAAGAAGATAAGAAAGTTGGAAAAAGCTGCCTCGGAAATGATTCCAATTGAGGATTTTATGACACCACCTAAATACTTGGAAAGCAAGAGGTAAATAAGGCTGTCTTTGACCATGAGCTTGYTTTGTATTTTGATTATTTGCTCTTCAAGATTCAAGAAAAATCTCTATTGCAATGTTTTATTCTTTCTCAGAGTGCGAAGTCTTCCACCTCTGTCCTCTGAGGAGATTGAAAGAAGGGTTCTGCTTATGAAAAAGTGGTCTCTGTACAAGCAGAAGCAAGATGAGGCAGAGAAGAAAGCGATTCAGACTCTTGTCACCTCTCAACAAGCGGCACTAAAGGAGCTGCGCCTTGAATCAGAAGAGCTCTATCAAGCAGCAATAAAACGAGATGAAGGACTTTTTCCCTTTGAGAGGGATGGACCTAATTACACCCCACCRCTTCCTGATTATGATCCTCCTGAAGGAAAATGCACTGATATCACCAAGGTGTACACACAGTGACCTGGGAARGGTTTAGTGGTCATCAGGCACGAACTACTCAGCTGGTTGAAGAAGGGAATGAATGATTCCTGTTGCAGTTTAAGACCTTATGGGGGTGTGACTGTCTTAACAACCAAAAAATCCACCATGAAATGTTTTTCTTGAAAACCTAGATAATAAAGCATCCAACAAAATTSTTCTGCTCTACTCTGCCATACAAGAATAAAGCAAGGAAGCCTGTGTCGCTCAGCATCGTCTCTGTTGTCTTGTTACTGTCATGCCTGCACGTGTTTCAGAGCAGTGTTGTTTTGTTCTCCACAAACCATGACATCATAGATTTCTATGCTATGAGAAAAGAGTGGCAGAGTGATTACATCAGAGTCTGGATTAGAAGAAAAGTACTAGCGGTTTTTCCTGCCTTTCTTTTATTCAGAATTCAGCTAAGGATGTATATGCTTAATGTATGAAAAATGGGTGGGAAACATTCTGTGACAAGGCCAGAAATAAGGGATTTTGTTGCCTTGTATTGCAGTAAGTTTAGCTTATACTTGGTATGTAAGTAATGAGTTTTTAACAGTATTTGCTTAAAATGAAAGTGAGCTCTTTTCAATCATTTCAGCTTTTATTTCTGTAATAACTCTGAATATTGCCACAGACATTTAAAAAGAGCAAGCACCGCTATCCAAGAGCATTTTAATRCCATCACACCAGACTGCCTGAAGTACGAGAACACTGAAGCCATGTGGTGCCTTCCAAATGCCACAGGTTTTGATTGCCCTGCACTGGCAAGGTGCAGTCTGGGCTCTTGTTTCTCAGACGCAGGTCTTGGGTGCTGCCGTGCTCCAGCCGTGCATAACACCAGCACCTCAGGGAGTCACTGTTGAGGAAGGGCAGTTGGATCACACATCCACGTGCGATCTCTTTGCTTGCATCTCTGTTGCTGAGAAGAGATCSTGAAGTGTGAGACAGCAAGAAGAAAGCGAATTATGCACTGAATTCACCCTTTAAAAATGCTTTTTGTTTAAATAAACTTTCAGTAGTTCTGGAATTAACTGATGGACTACTATACAGGGCAGAAGYAGAGTGGTATAATATCAAGAAAAGAGAAAACCAGGAGTGTTTTCCCAGCGTTGCGTATTGCCTACTGACCGACCCTGGCAGAACAGTCTCGCTATTCCGGTTTGTCCTGGTTGAGGGGCAGGTACCAGTCCGACGGGGGGCTCTTCCGGAGCGTCCACACTGGAGCATATTTCTGTTTTTCCATAACTCGAGATCTTTCACTCTTGCACAAAGCTTCCTAAAACACAGAAAAACCATATCCACAACAGCACTGGATTTTCACCTTTTTACACAGGCTGCTTCCCAAATCGACTGAAATAAAACCAGCCACAGAAACGCATCGCACTAAACCAAAACATAAAGACCCAGCGCCAGCAGGGGAGGTTTTAATTGCACCTTATATTTCGCTTCCCATTCCCCCAATAATGCTCCCTCCTGGGTTTGTTTGGCGGTGATTATGCGTTAGTGCAGAGTAACCCCGTGTGTCTGAGGGGGAAGTTAAATCCAGGGGGAAAGCRAGGGCGGGAAACGCCGGGACGAAGGGGGGAAACGGGCCGTACGGCCCGTTTCCCCCCTTCGTCCCGGCGTTTCCCGCCCAAGGGCGTTTCCCGCCCACGCCCAACGGTCCCCGCGGGCGTTACCTTCGCGGCGGCGCCCGCGCCGCTCTCCCACGCCCGGCAGGCCTCGTAGTCGTCCCGCCACCGCGCGCACTGCGGCAGCTCCCCGTGCGCGTAGTAGTGGTGGAAAGCGTGGCGCAGCCCGCGGCACCGCTTCCATTCCGCCCAGTAGTCCTCGCACGGGCGCGGCGGCTGCGGGCAGAGACACGGGGCGCTCAGCGCGGGCCCGGCCCCGCCGCTGCCCCCCCCCGAACCCGCCCGGTGCCGCCGCTCACCCGCCACGCCTCGCTGCCCGCCATGCCGCCCGCCGCGCAGGCCGCCCCAGCCGCCAATCGCCGCGCTGCTTGCGGAGAGCACGGTCCCGCCTGGCCAATGGGGAGCGCCGGGACAAAGCGGCCGCCGGGGCGCTCTGAGGCGCAGAGCCAATGGCAGCGCGCGGAGCAAGCTCCCCCCCGCCCCACCAATGGGCGTCGCACCCCAACCGGCCGCGTGACGTAGGGGTGACGCAAGCTGCATGTCCGTGACGTCACGAGCACGCTGGCAACACGATCAYGGGGCAAAAGATCTTTTGTTTTACTGTGTCCTTCACATGAGGGCCTGGCTCCATCAGGCTCCTACAGTCCCCAAGCCCTGGAGACGTCACAGAACCACAGAATGGCTGAGGTTGGAAGGGACCTCTAGGGATCATCCAGTCCAACTCTCTGCTCCAGCAGGGACACYGGGAGCACGGGGCACACGGTGGCATCCAAGCGGTTTTGAAGATCTCCAGAGAAGGAGACTCCACAGCCTCCCTGCGCAGCCTGTTCCAGGGCTCTGTCACCTCACAGTGAAGAGCTTCTTCCTCACATGGAGCTAGAACTTCCTGTGTTTCAACTTACACCCACTGCCCCTTSTCCTATCACGTCAMGTTGTTAATTAACTCTGAACACAAACACAGCAAGGGGTGGCACGACCCACAACCAGCTCCAGGGGCTCAGCGCAGAGCCTCCTGCGCCAAGGTCTGCCAGCACTCACCCCTCAGCCTTCCTTTGCACCACACCAAAAAGCAGATCGGAAACTGTGGCAGAAGTACAGAGAAGAGGAAATCAAGCACAAAGCGACACGARGCCATCGTCACACGGGCTTTATAGGGTAGGATGTAGTCTAAGGACTGGACCTTTAGTAAGGCAGAATTCACCGGTTTTGCTTCCCAGCTTTACATCAGAGAAACTCCACCTCTTTCCAAAACATACAAAAACAACACTGCTTCAAAATTCCTACAACTTAATTCCCAGCTGAAAGTTAAGACAGTCTTAAGCTCCATTTTTAAACAAGAAACCAAAATCAGTAAAGTGCTCCTGTGTTGCAAAATGTTCTCTCAACTGCAAAAACTAAGGTCCAATATGCTGCAATTGTTATTTATTCTCCTCCTAACTGACTGAAGGTTCCACAAGTTATGGTTTTCTTCCCTTTTTGCGCAGGGACTGGCCTTCTCCTGAAAAGGCAATAAACCGGCTTCCAGATTCATCCTGAATAAAGAAAGAAGAGAAGGTTTTYAGTTGTTTCTCTCTGCTCACTGTTCGTGTGATACAAGCTGAATAATCACCAGAAGGAACACTCTATCATGGCAGCAGCAGACTGCAAGTGTTCCACATCCTTATCTGCCTAACAACCGCTATTCTTTCAAAAGTCTGAGTGTTTCAATGACCTTTCACCAGCTTAATGCAAGCAAGCCCTGGCTAATCTCCCAGCAGCAAGCAAGGACATCACAGCTTGCATTTATCTGTATGAAACAAACTAACAGCACTTTTACCTGCAGGTTTTAGTGAAAAGTCTACTACAGGGAAAGCAACCACAGACTCGCACATGGTTCCACTGTCCTTCAGCAAGAAGCAATTACTGCCAAATAAGGTGGCATTTTTTTTTCTGCTCCAGATTACCATTTTGGGTTGCATGACCAGTAACTACGGTCACCATCATAGCCATCAGCTGATGAGGCCACATGCTGAAGCAGATGAGGGAACATCCAGACTACATTAAACTCAATGAGGCAGCATAACTACAGCCATGAACAAAACAATGCACTCCAAATATGGGGACTTGCAASTGGGAGAGAACTTGTGAATTCAGTTCACTTTTCCCTTGGCTGTATCTTCTCAATTTTTMTGCTCTCAGATATACATCATCATCAAACAGATCTGCCAGAACTGATAAGCAATGCAGACTGCTTTGCAGACAGATGTCTCATCAGTCACATATTCTGTGTAAGATTACCAAGATTGAACTTAATGTACCTCTTCAACTTTCTTCACTAACGGACGTGAGTTTCTAATAAATGTGATTCTACCAATCTTGAAGTCATAATTGGGTATTCCTCTGAAAAATAAGCATTAAAACAGTATAGTGAAGAAATTTTATACAATGAAACATCCAGTAGAAAAACAGTGAGACTCTTTCTATGCCTTTCAATAATATGCAAGCACCTCTGCAAAATTTTCACTACCAAATAATCCCATAGCTAAATTACTGTATTATTTCCTAAAGATAGGCAGTCACTGAATGAAGGAAATAATCAGATACTGAAGCTGATGCACAAGCTTGGCTGTGGGCATGGTCCCACACTGTCTGCAGTTTTCATGGGGCCAAGGACACTTTTTCTAGAAGGGTTCAATTTTTATTGACAATATAAATTGTCAACAAATATAAATTGAAGCAAATTGAGACAAATATAAATTGAAGCAAAAGCAACACAGGAACCACATCCCCCCCAAAGACCATTCTATTAAATCTGAATCTAAAAACTTGCTTTTAAGGGAAGGGAGGAGAAAAAAAAAAAAACACAATCACATAGCCTGGCTCTGGCTGTCTGCCCAGCTCAGAAAGATCTTACTGTAGGCCACATTTCACTTTAGAAAATTGCCAAGAGTTCTGAATGCAGCTCATCAGCCTCAGTCTAGATCTGCTGCTTTTGCCTTCTTGTCTTCTATAGAGCAAGAGCTAATGGAGTTTTGGCACCATTTATTAATTTGAAATCTGCACTTTAAGTAGTCTGAGAAACTCACAATTAGTCTAGAAAATTAGACTATGTACTTTTACATGGAAATACTCGAGGAAATTACTTTTTTTTCCCTCCTGCAGTACAAACAGTGCATTCATACGCTCATCCTTCACTTGCTGAAAACTGAAACAAACATACCTTCGAATRTCTCCTGGTTTAATTGGAGATGGGCTTGGCTCAACACCTTTCTTCTTGCCATCCAATCTGTTCCCAGAACCAGAGAATGCCTGCACATGTACAAGACATAATTATGTCTCAGAATTATAAATAATGAGTTTTAAATTAACCATATCTTGTATTTGAAAGCACATTGCACAGGAATATTATATTCCCCCCTCAAAAAAAAAAAAAAACCCCAAAATCACTTATTTGACTCAGTACAATTATTTTTAGTTCATCTAATAAGCTAATCCCTATGTGTAGGAGACATTTCAGTCTCCTTTTTGAAGACTGGCCTTTTGGTTACAGGCCATGAGCACCACAAAGCATCAACAAAGGTGACCTACTTTCTGAAAGGAGGTTGTAGGAGTTTCAGCTGCGGGGATTCCTACATGAAAAGCCTATTTACCAGTTAACAAAGGACACCTCTAAGAAGAGGTACTGGTATTATGTAGTAGTTTGGATTTTGCTTTCCCTTGTGATTTACAACATTCAAAAACCAGCAGAAATACAGGACTTACACGAAATCCTAGGTCACTCACATATCCACTGTGGTCTGCTTCAACATCCTGTGGAAAAAAAAAATGTTACTTCAATATATCCATGTTGCGATGTGAAAACATTTTTTTTTTTTTTTTTGTCAGAAATATATGGAAAAGTGGGAAGCTTATTTAACTGTTTGTTTTGGGAGCGGATTGTTCTAAACAACCATCTCCTATAACCAGGGCAGATCACTGGTGAAAACACATTTTTTGAAAAATGGAATTTTCACTTACTGTGGTCTCTTCATGTTGTGCATTTCTTTCTGGCTCTTTATAGCCCAAAGGAGCATCAAAATCCACCTATGTACACAGGAAAATAACTGTGATTRATATTTTTATTTAAGTATAAATTTTATACCTCTGTTCCTCTGATCTTCACAAACTATTGTTCCATTTTAAACTAGGAAGAACTGGAGTTTGATAATCATTTTTATTCAGAAGAAAAAAAAAAAAGACTAAGTTTCCCAGAGATGAGTCTGTGCCTATACTTGAAACGGACCAGGAGAACAGCAGTCCACATGCAGCTGGAGACTAAAAGTCAAGACAAGGCCATAAAATGAGACTCTTCAGATTATAAGACAGCATGTTGAATGTACATTCATAGTAGGTTCTAGACACTGCAGTCACCTGAAGATGTAGGAAGTTAAGTGCAGCACAACACCACAGGTGTGGTTACAGAGGTACATTGGAACTCTTGTATGACTCACCTTCCCCACCTCATCTGATTTTACCTGTCCCACAGCATGAGAGGTGCTTGGTATTCAGTGCTATCAATGGACAACCTTCTCCTTTTAGGGGTTCTCAATAAAGCAGACTTTCCACAACAGCCTTAACTTACATTCATATCACATTCTATGATGGACACAGCCTTATCTGGTTTGGTTTCCATTACCCGAAGCTCATAGATCTGAAACAGTAATGAATAATTTAAGACTGTACACAAGGAGCACTATTTAAGTAACAGAAAAGCATTGCTAAACCCTTCCCCTCAGAAAGTCTGAAGCACAGTGCTTTAAATGGACACCAATGGACACCACAGGGATACGAGGACAAGGGTATTAACCTAGACATAAGATTGCTATATCCCGAAGCTATCTACTTCTTGCTGTCAACTTGTGTTCTTGAAAGCAAATTGTAGTTTCAGGATAATTTCCATCCCACAATTTATAAGAACTTCAAAAGCATCACATTAAGTTTTCTCTGATGAGTCAAAAGAGCAGCCTAAATAGCAGTTCAAAGGAGGATTTAATTGACCCTATTTTTCAATACAAAACTGATTGCAAAATCTACCACGCAGGATTTACATGTCAGCAATATTACACAGCTCCATGTTTATTATTTTTGCAGTAACATCAAAAATTGTGCTTAGTTCACAACTCTAACTGATCAAATGTGCACATGGGCTACCAATTGATGACATGCAAGTTAAAACTGCACATGTGATGTTGCATACTGTACCTTTTCATTGTAGTTGATGGCAATAACGTCTCCAGTAGTTAGACAAGCAAAGTTTCTCAAAGCGTTTTCTAATCTTTGGAGGACGTTAAGATACATACAAATATGTATGATTGTTGTATTGATTGTTACATCAAAGCTTTGAAATTACTTAGAAAACTCTGGTCTTTACTCTCTCAAGGATAGTTTAAAAGTCACCAGAGCCTTAGACATCCTTTTTGTATTTATTAAAGGGTACAACATCTTCTGTAGATATTCTGAGAGACACTCAAACCCACTGCACTTTAAGTCAAGATGCAGGTTCTCTCACTCCAGGATACACAGAACTGCAAAAGCCCTCCCTCATTTTTGTTTTCAGAAAGGGCAGTAGTAGTTATTTGCTACTGCRAAGGCACGAGCAACACCTGAAAAGCTGACCCTGCTTCATCATTCCAGTTTTAGGGGAAAACTTTTGTTCCCTGCTCCATAGTTGAGTAGGAAGGATACACAGCTTTGGGATTGGTGATATCAAGAAAATCTGGACTCTGTGGCTGAAATTTTGAGTAAGTAGCAACTTGAAGATTAACACTCTCCACTTGTACCAGGCCTCCCTCTTCCAGCAGCAAGTTTTGCATCATCTGCAAAAATAAAGACAAAGAGGCAAACCAGTATCAGCAAATCAGATTTACTATTTTTTTTTCTCCTTAAATATACACATTGGGGTCACCATCCTACACAAAATCCATCAGTTCATTTCTGTTTTAATTTCAGGAAGACAACAGTCAGGGACATCTCAAAACACAGTGTGCTTTGCATACAGAGAGAAACTTGAGCTGCAACTGAAAGCAGCTGCAGGAACATGACTAGCACGGACACGTAATTTCAGCACCCCATTTGCCTCTTCATATTAAACTAGCAACTCATTAATCCTACCCTTCTGGTTCTGACAGTTCAACATGAGACAACTCACCCAGTGTGGAAGGTAACATATGCCCTCATCAGCCACAAATTCAAGCACTCCACAGTGCGTCATTCGGTCTGAATTTTTATTAGTCAGCTTAAACAACATTGGGTAGGTAATATTAAGTCGGCCTGGTGAGGAAGAATAAAGAGGATTTTGTTATAAAGCCACTAACCCATTCACCAAACTTTTAGAGATTGATCGTTCCGAAGAGAATGGCACGGAGTGTAGGAGAAGATCCCCCCACCAACCATCACTCCAACTCCAAAACCACAACCCCAGGAGAGAAAGCAGAAACATTGCACTTGGAGCTTTAAATGCCTCCCCAGCACTTCCCCTGCTACGAGATAAGCAGGCTGACAGTTAAAAAAAAAAAAAAAAAAGTATGCCTTGGGCTCTTATCACATGGCTACAAAAGAATTCTAACATCCTTTGTCCATTTTAAAAATAATCCTGAGTTAATCTGCTTCTCAAAGAAATTCTAATAAGGACAAAATTCAGAGAAGAAAAACAGCCTATTAAAAGAGGCAATAATCACCACTTAAAATATTAATTCAATTATTTCCTCCATTTCAAAATTGTTTTTTTTCCTCAGAAAAGTATTCAAGTAGGCTGAGATTAATGACTTATTAGAGCAACTGTAATCATTATATTCTGTGTTATTAACAGTTATTAAGTATCAATTCATGCATCCATTAACTTGACACTTCAGGTGACTGTACTTAAAGACAGACAGAATATCTTAACTCCGAGAAACAAAATACTCCCCCAAATACATCTTTTGAACAAGTTAATCACATCCACTCTACTTAAGACAGATATTAGGGAGACTTTTTTTTTAAATATTGGCATGTCTATATGTTTACATTTGTAATCTTCTTATTCCAAAACAATATTTGCACTTACTGAGTTGATCCAAAGCAGATGGTGGCATAATTACTGTAAAAATTAATGAGAGAGTTAAAACAAGATTATGAAAAGTGTGACTATACAGAGAAGATATTTTCTACTCTAAGGTCTAACATGAGTTAAATTTCTGAGCAAGAGATGTCAGCAATATCAGTGACAACAAATATACCTCCTTGCACAGGAATTTTAAGTTTTAACCAGAAATTAGATGAAACAAAAGTTTACAATATTTAGTGCTACAGGAAAATTTTCCTCAAAGTACTTTTATTTGTGTGGGCTTACATGTCCCCTTCAACTGATGTCAAGCATTGGCCTGAGAGATGGGATTCTGAAAGCGAAGGTGGACAGTCTGTTTTCTTCTTCAAGTCAAGTTATAACGAGTTAAAAAAAAAAAAAAAAAGAAAAAGAAAAGGGGAGGAAAACAAACACAGTTCTTAGTCATAAAATTCTATGATTCATAACAGTGGCGAGATTTTAAAAGGGTTTTCTTCTAATGATAAAGTCCCAGGAGTCAATCCCTACTACATTTTTAATTAGACAGTAATGTACTATAAAAGTAAAATCCTCCTCTTCCTTCTTACAGCCTCTCAGCGCTGCTCTTGCTCAAGCCTCACACCAACAGCATGTCTCCATGCTGCCCAACAATGTCTACAGTCTTGGCCAAAAGCAAATTACTCAGCGTTATTCACAAATAACCTTAAACAGTGTAAGGCTTTCTATTATTCACAAATAACCTTCAACAGTTTATTAATCAAAATAAAACAAGCACATACTCTTCCCGCCTTTCTCCACATCTGACCTGTCATTAGGTCCAGCAAGCATGGATACGGAGAAGCAGCGGTACTGAGTGGAGAAGCGGTTCTGGAAAACCCGCGGGATCGGATGGTCGAACATATTGAAAGAGAACTGGGGAAGGGAGAGAAGAGCAGAGCAGACAAGAGGCTATTAACGTCACTCCTGCCGCACACCGAAACGACGCAGCACGGCCTCGCCGGGCGCACGGCAGTTTCCTGGACGGTGTCTAACTAAAACGGTGCTCGCGAGGCCCGCCCGGGGCCCGCGGGAGCGGCGCTGGTTGCGCAGACGGGACGCGGGCCCGGYGGCCGCCACAGAGAGCGCCGAGAGGGGGTCTCGGCGCGGCCTCCCGCCCCCGCGGGGCCCGGCGCGGCCCCCCGGGCCCACCCG